CCCTCAAAAAATCAATACTTTTTAAACTGGAAATTCTTCAATCTGCCCAAACAAGCGATATTGATTGATTTTTGACCAGGCTTTTTACATATTCATAGTCTATCGACGAGAGTAAAACTTCTCATTGATAGATAATTTAAATACTCTACTAATTCATCCTTGGGTCGTTCTTAATCAATCTACCATTGAGCAATTTATATATTATTTAATGGCAAAATTTATAAATATATATTTTTTTGTTAAATAACTCCTAGAATGTTCGGTTTATGCTTTATTATTGGACATTTTTCTTCTATTTTGCTCTATTTTTAACTTAGTGAAATTAATAATTAATATTTTTTTGTAAAACAATCAGTATTAGTTTAGAAAATTAATATGGAAATCTGTTATCTGGTCATTGGTTGTCTTGCTACAATTCTTTTTCCCAGGTCTTCTTGATACCCTAGGTCTCAAATATTAGCAGAGAAAACAAATATGATTTTTTCTATAAAGCATTATAGATTATTATTGATGTAATGTTGACAATGACCTGATAGAAGAAAGCTGTCAAAACGTGGTAAATTCAAGAGTAAATAACCATAAAAACGCAAATCAAGGCAATCTTTAAAACCTAAAGCAGTTAATGATGGTAAATATAAAAATTCACTATTGACACACAGCAGGTATGGCAAATTCTTTAAGATATATCTAGGATCTATAATCACAAGAAAATATGTGGATTACAAAACTATTACATGTGAGAGGAAATCATCAAAACAAGCAGTTTCTTGAAAGGTAGGAGTATGATCTGTACAGTATATTTAAAATTCCTACAAGCTGAATAAATAAAACATAAAATTGGAGAGAAAAATATCTCAAATTAAGTCTTGACATCTCAAAGCAAGACAGAACTTGAAAAGTAGGACAGTTAGTAATATGAAAAGATAAAACTGAGTTTGTATTATCACACAGCAGGTGTGATCACTTTCAGTAGATATATTCAGAATTTCTACAAACTTTAACAAAATGTTACGGACACAATTTGGCAATCAGCAGACAGATTTTTTTTAAATTAAATTTATTTATTAAAACTGGTCTTATTAGACCAACCATTAATTTTACAATAATATTATACAATAAATAAATGTTTACATTCTTATAAACCCATTGGTACAATAAGATTTACATTTCACTATTCACTTATAACTACACAAGTTCATATGGCTTTGTTCTTTTTAATCTTCTGACCGTGTTTCGGTAATGTAAGAGTTTAGTTGCTTCCACATTCTCGTGCTGGCTGAGGCGAGCCTGGTGTTTGGCGGCAAATCTTTGTATTTCCGCCGTGACTTCAGGGATCTTAAGATCCCTATGTAAGTCCTTATTCCTTATGTACCAAGGTGCATTGACCATGTTACGTAAGATTTTATTTTGGAGTGTTTGTATGATTTTGATATTGCTGTGTTTGGTACAACCCCATAGTTGAATACCATATGTCCACATAGGCTTTATGACTTGTTTATATAATAATATTTTATTTTGTATAGCAAGATTGGAGCCACGTCCTATCAACCAGTATAGTTGTCTATACCTTAAACCTATTTCTGTCCTTTTTTTCTTCACGTGTTCTTTCCATCTCAGCTTGGCATCTAAGGTCATTCCCAGATATTTAGCTGTATTGCTGTATGGTATAGTAGTTCCATCGATTATGAGCGACGGAACATGGTCCACCTTTTTGTTTGTAAAGATTATATGAACTGATTTATGTTGATTTAGCTTGATTTTCCATTTTTTTGTCCATTCGTTTATCTTATTACATGCATTTTGGAGGATTTCGGTTGAGTGGGTTATAGTCGGTCCTATTGATATCACCGCTGTGTCGTCTGCAAAAGTTGCAATTTTTACTCCATCTATTTTCGGAAAATCACTGGTGTATAACAAGTAAAGCAGTGGACCTAATATGCTACCTTGTGGCACTCCTGCATTTATTGTTTTTAATTTTGAATATTGGTCTTCTTGTTTGACTCTAAACAGTCTGTCAGTTAGGTAGGAACTGATAATAGCAGACAGATAGAAATTGTACTAAATATATTAATTTGTAAAAAAAATCTCTGAATCTCGGAGATGCCAAAGAAGGACTTAAAATCCTTACAAGGCTGGACAAACGGCCATATTAGAAGGAAAAGCTGTCAAAGAAGATACTCCAAAATCTTTAAAAATATAAAAATACATTCCTAATAAAATATTAATTAATTAAAATTTTTAAATAATAAACAATACCAAAAAAGGCAATTCTTCAGAACACTAAAACAAAAAGGAAAAACTGTATTGCTACATTGAAGGACATTCACTGTTAAATTATTAGCAAAATATTAAAAATTTCTACAGGTTTAATATAAAAAAAATGTATGTGACAATTTTAAAATGAATAAGATGACAGAAAGGTGATCAAAATATAATAAATTAGAGAAAAACACCACTTAGATAAATGTTGTATGTTGCATCGACGATAATTTTCAGCAAAGGGGTTAAAAATAAACTTCTCAAAAAAAGGAGGTTTGTAGTTGTGGATTTTTCATTTGTGAAGAAATGTTGTTGATCTTTAGTAGTGATAAGAATAGAGAATGGAATGTATTGTCAACATCTTTTTAGTCCTACTATTTTCTTAAATTGTAATTATGTCATTCAAAAAGTTCCTTTTTAAAAACAAGATAAATTTATAAAGATAAAACGAGATTCTTGAAAGGTTGGACAAAAAGTGATACTAATACTAGGTACGCAGAATAAAGTCAGCCTCTGCTGGGTTCCAGGACGCATGGGAGTAGAAAGCCGACACCCTTGCAAGAAAAGGGGCTGCTACACCGCTGATAGGACCTGAACCCTTCTGTGGCATAAGAACCCACACTATTAAAGAGTATCTCAGACAGAAGGACAAAAAGAAAATGAAGGAACTTTGGAATTCACTCATTGGACACAGACAATCCAAGAATCTTCTAACCAATTTTGGAAGGAAAGAAATTACAGAATGTGTCAAGGGAAGTAGAAACAGACTGCGAATCCTAATAGGATTCCTAACAGGACACTGCAAGTTAAATGGATACTTAAAGAAAATTGGAATAATCCAAGATGGCACATGCAGATTCTGCAAAGAGGTAGAAGAGACGCCAACACATTTACTAACAAACTGCGGAGCTATACTAGCCCGCAGGAGGAAATGTTTTGGGATGTATAATGTGACTATAGAAGAGCTTCAACCATTGAAACCTGGCCTATTAATCAAGTTTCTTGATGAAATAGGACTCACCGATGTGCTTTAGGCAGGGCACAGGGGGACACAATAGCTCTTAAAGGGTGCAGTATACTATACCCCGAAACTATATCTACATCTACAAAAGTGATACTAAAAGGTCAAAAGCAGCTGTCTTTAATCTTTAAAACTACATTGCTACAAATTACAAAAAATTAAAATATGTATGATGACAGATAAAAGCTGTCACAAAAGCCACTGTCAAAATTTTTAAAAGTACATTGCTACAAATTACAAAAAAATATCTATGATGGCAGATCATAGCTCGGGTGGAAATCTATTAAATTAGGAATAAAAATCATTGTGAAAAAAAGACAACACTTGAGAACAGAAAAAAAAGGAAAAACTGTCTGCATTGACATATAAAAATATATTAAATCTGAGAGAAAAATCACTGAGATTATATCGCAAGATCCAATTATAAGGATGGATTGAGCCATAAGTAACAAGAGAATGTGAAAAAAAAGCCAATGATTTTTATTATGGAAATAAGTTTGATTTTCTGAAGAAAAAAATTTTGGTTTAATTATTTGTTATTCATGATTTTAAATGTTGTTTTAAACAGTTTTGTTGTAAATGAAAACTTTCAAAAATTATCAGTTTTAGTGTAAAGAAAAGTTCTTTAATTAATTCATCGAACGAACGAAATAATGATTTATTATTAACTTATATAGAAGTTTAGTAAAAAAAAAAAAGAAAAAAAAAGAGAGAGAGAGAGAGTAAGAGAGTGAGAGAGAGGGTGAGTGAGTGAGTGAGAGAGAGAGAGAGAGAGAGAGAGAGAGAGAGAGAGGGTGGGTGAGTGAGTGAGTGNGAGAGAGAGAGAGAGAGAGAGAGAAAAGATAAAATTTTGAAAGGTTAAAAAAATGAAAGAAACTTAGAAATGAGAAAAAAATCATTCCCAACTCAAAGGAAATGAACGAACATTTCCATTATCCGAACAGCTCACTTATCTTGTTCGTTCCCTAATCTGAAATCAGTTTGAGAGTGGACTCCCTTATCGCTTATCTAAAAGTAAACAAATCCAAGGTCGCGTTTCAATTAGAATAGTATCTTTATTTATAAACACGTCTCACGTATTAAGTTTTTTTTTATAAACATTTAAAAACATGGCATTTGCCGTATCAAGGATTTTATCCCGAGGTACTTGTATTTTCTTTTGCATTATTCTCTTTACCGTGTTAGACATATAAAAAGGCTAGTAATTGAGAATCAGAAGTCAACTTGATTATTCCCATAAAACTCCCAGAATCATCTGTTTTATTCAGTCCAACTTCAGAATTTCTTAAATATGTAACTTTATACATCTATNTTTGTTAAATAGGTAATTTTATATATCTATCTTGGAATTATTTAAATACATAAAACTCCCAGAATCATCTGTTTATTGCTTACAGAGCTGTTTGATAAGTCCTACCTTTCAATGCTTTATCCAGTCTTGTGGTTGGTATTTTAAAGTTTAAATCATTTCTCACTGAAGATGGCATGAAGCTGAGTTTAATTTTTTTTAAATTTTTTCTTCCTGTTTGATATGGTGACCTTTTTTTCACTTGCACTTAGACCTTGGCATTTTTAAATCCAATGCGAGATTCTTTATTTCAATCTACCCATTTGTTACACTTTCAGACTTTTATGGTGTGCTTATCCATAATAAGGGTTTTGATACGATGGGTTTAAATGCTGCATTTTTTTTTCCATGATCAGCTCTTCGATTTCATACATTCCATCCACGACCTGACAATAATTTTAGGTCTTGTACCTGATATCTGTGCACTTTTTGGTTCAATTCATTCTTAAGTATTTCCTACGGTCAGAGGTCAATTCAACTTGAAACATGTGCTGGTAGGGTTTCCATTAAATTTACGCTGGCATATATTACAATCACAATCGTGATAAATTATTTGCATTGCATGAAGCTAAAAATTTGTATCTTTTCCCAGGGCAACTCGTCTCCTCGCCTGGCCTTAAAAGATTGAGCACTTTATGTACTGATGGATTATCGGAGGTTCATGTCATGTTGCAAAAGACCTGCAGGAATTTTGCTGATGGAGAGCTCAAGCCGAATGCAGCCAAATTTGATAAGGAACATTTATACCCTAAAGATCAGGTAAAACATTTTTTTTTCTTCGTAAACTTACAGATTTTTAATTGTAACACTCCTGCAAAAATTAAAATCTTCATATGAAATTGTTTTATTGTTTATTATGTTATTATTATTCTTTTTTATAGATTAAAACGATGGGTGAATTAGGACTAATGGCATTAAATGTTCCGGAAAAATATGGTGGAAGTGGTTTAGATTATCTTGCTTATGCTATTGCAATGGAAGAAATTTCTAGGTATGTTATTGTAAGTGGGTGCTGGCACCCTATGTGCTTATCACTATGCAAGAGAACTTTCTGCTTACACGCTTAACTAGTTTTTGTGTTGAGGAAAACTGGGTTCAAAAATACAATAAACCAGAGAGATAGGGTTCAGAAACATTTAATTCCACACTGTACCATCTGAATAAGTCAAACAAGCAAGGCAAGTCAGCCACTAAAGCTGGGGATGAGCTTATTTATAAGAGGACTTACTCCAAATGATGCTTTCAAATACCAGCTTCCACATCCTTCAGCATTCTTCCAGGAGCTTCTTCCCACAGCTTCCTGGATTTGTCGGAATGGGTCGGTCCTTGCTGGCTGAGTCCTCTCACTGAGACCTTGGATCACCAGGGTAAGGGAGGATAGGAAAAGCAAAAACTGTTAGTGCAGATGGTCAGCTTCCTTCTTGCGATGGTTGGTCATGACCTGGGCAGCCTCACAATAACTTGCACCCTCAGAAGTTTACATTACGCAGCCCCTTGGTATCCGTTGCCAACCCAGCTGGCATGACCCCAAATTTCAGGCAGGGCTATTCGTCTGCCACATTTCTACAACTTCTTGGTTTATCCTGGAAAATGTCTCCTTGCTCTCTGGACGACCAGTTAGATTTACTTCCTTATTTCCAACATATGTTTGAAATTCCTTACAACTTATACTAAGACAGGACTGGCTTACACAATTAAATTTGAAGTTAAGAATAATTACATTTGGTAAATACCTTTGCCATATGCTAATTCTTTATCTTGAAAACACTAAAATGATTATTATGCTGTTATATTCAGTGAAAAAATTGAAAATGACAAATGTTAAAATTATAAATCCACTGCAGTAGGTTGTATCTGCCAGATTTTTTTAATCAAATTTGTTACTACTACTCAGGGAGTGTATTAAAATAAATAAAAAATTTTGTTGACCGCTGTTTAGGGGATGTGCTTCTGCTGGAGTTATAATGAGTGTTAATAATTCACTTTATTTAGGCCCAATTTTGGCCTTTGGCAGTGAAAAACAGAAAGAGGAATTCATTAGCCCATTTGTTGATGGGACTAAAGTAGGTTGCTTCGCCCTCAGTGAACCAGGTATATGAGAATTATGTATTGAATTTTTTTGCGCCGCCTTAAAATGTTAATTATATTTATTTTTGTTTTAAGGCAATGGTAGTGATGCAGGTGCAGCTTCCACCAATGCAAAACGCAATGGAAACGCTTGGATCCTTAACGGGACAAAATCATGGATAACGAACGGTTATGAATCAGAAGCGACAATTGTATTTGCAACAACTGATAAGTCAAAAAAACACAAGGGAATAAGTGCATTTCTAACGAAAAAGCCAGTTGATGGTAAAGTTGTATTTTTGAGTAACATAGTTTTTCCAGGGTATATCAGTCACGAAGAATTTTATTTGGACGACACAAGCCAAAAAATTTAATTAAAATATTTTAAGTTTTTATGTAAAAAATGGTGTAATGAAGAAACTAATGACACAGCTCGTGAACTGTCATTTTTCTTTCTTACGAAATATGTATGTTTGAAGTTTATAAAACTTCTTTTCTTCATTATTGAAAAATTTCTTTTTTGTAGGCCTTATTTTGTCTGACGGGTTCCTTAATGAACAAACAGGCAGCCATGTTGGCAATACACTGTTTTCTTTTAATTTTTTTTCCAACGTTTTTTTTGAAATAATAAAAAAAATGTTTTTGCAATGTTAAGAAATAAAATGTAAAACTTTAAAATGGCACAGGATTTCCAGAATGTCGCAAAATTGTGATTTTTTTTAACACCTTACAAATAGAGCCTACCAAAAAGAAATTTTTCATTTATAAAACTATTGTAATATTAAAAGTAAGTGTAGAGATTTATTGTTAAAGCCTGCAGGATGATGAACCTGTAGTTTGGACATTTTGGTCAGCCTATTCTTGCTGTTTTAGTGTATCAGACCAAAAATGATAGGAAACAACCTAACATGAAATATTAATAAAAATATTTGATGTTAGTAATTGCTTATTGCTGTCCCATCTAGGCTCAATAGTTTTGGCTTTATCTTATATGAGTAGGGGGTTCAATTCGTTTTTCAGTCCACTTTTAACTTTTCTTTCAACATACAATAGACTAATTACTGCTTTAAATAACCTCAAATATGCACATGCATGCATGCATACAGAGTTGAGCCTATCACGTCTCACAGCTTGCCAGCAATTCACAGCTTTTTGTAATTTACAATAAATTACCTGCAGGTCTCAAGACCTTATCCATGCACTGAGGTTGGACTCCAGGAACTATCAATAACTAGGTGATTTCAGCCTCCAACACAGTCAGTTCCTAAATCCAAACCCATTCACACTCTCACCACTCGTAAATGTATCCTTACTTACATCACTCACTCATGGTATGAGTGAATAGTTGATATTCCTCCATCACTCTCTACACATATTATACAACCAATCTCATTGAGGGTCAATGGGGTACTCAATTTCGCCATCGGCCAGCCCTCTCACACTACACGTTCATGCTAATAAATACATTCAGTCTCAATATGCACAACGAAAAACAATATGAGATACCTATAAAGTATTGTTTACTTTACCATGTATAACCATGTATAACTGTTTCCTATAAAAATCAGAACAGGATACCCAAGTATCGGGTTGTCCGGAAAATAATGCAGGATTTTAAGTTTTCATTAAAAAAAATCTATATAAAATATTCTGTTTACGTTTACAGGATTACTCATTTGTNTTTTTTTTTGTTTAATACCAAAATCCTGCATTATTTTCCGGACAACCCAATACTTGCTGCTGAGCTCAAGCAGGATTCTCATATCAAGTCGCATTCCTACACACTCTCTATATGGATCCAAGGAGTGGCATCTTCCAATTAAATGGGACATATCAAGCACCCTTTCTCTACATATCAACATATACGCAGGCTTTGGTCGACCTTGCATGGCCTATCCTTAATTGGTTAAGGATGACCTTCCTCCAATGAGTCAGATCTTCTGAGGGTCACCCATGGAAGGTGCTCTTGATACATGGGACCTTCTCTGTTGATCCTTATCCTGCCGATGTTTTTTTAATGCATTTTTAGGTGTCAGAGGGGCCATATTACTGTCGTTAAGTTCACAGGTTGGGATGTTCCAGCATTTCGTTACCCTCCAGACCTATATGTCTGAGCTAAAGCTGCGTATGTTCGCGAACCAGGTTCATCTTTAGTGAGTATGCTAATGCGAGATTACATTATTTACATTCGAGATTGTTCCAATGGCTGTCAGTTTTTGGGTGAACTCAAAGCGGAGCACAGGATGTTCATGGATGGCAGGAGCGACCATGTTTGCGGCCTCGTCTCCACATGAAGTGGTTACAGGATCATGGAGCGCTACTGGTTCATGAACGTAGTACACAGCTTAAGACACTTCAGTTCATGGAGGGGGGGTTGACAAGATGGTCCTGAGGGAGTCTATGTAGACATTAATTTTTATTTTTCTTGGATACCAGGGACTGGAGGAGTTCCCTCCTGAGCACTGCAGCTGAGCTGTACAGCTTATTGTACTTTATCCATGACTCCATATTTTGGGGGAGGGCTCGCAACACAAATGTGAACTTGAGCCCCCGTTGTACCGGTGTTCTTCCATCGAAGAAACTCATTTTTGAAGGGGGTTTGGACCAAATTCAGGGTTGCTGAGATCCGATTCCGCCCCTTCCATTGATGAGTGTCGTGTCAATTTCTTTCAATTGCGGCCACCGTTTCCCTTAGGCATCAGAAAAAGTCCAAAGGCGACAATGGGGATCGAACCCACGACTGCGGGATCTACTAGCCGAGAGTCTGACGCCTTAACCACTCGGCTACCGCGGCCCCCCTGACATTAAATATACTAAAAGATTTTTTTTTTTAATTCTAAGGTATTATCTCTATTTAAATTTATTATATTCTGTTTTATTTTAGGTTTGTCTCTTGGTAAAAAAGAAGATAAACTTGGCATCAGAGGTTCATCCACATGTAATCTAATTTTTGAAGATTGTGAATTACCTGAAGATAGTGTAGTAGGAAGTGAAGGCATGGGTTTCAAAATTGCTATGATGACATTGGGTAAAATAGTGTATTATTGATTAACAATTATCTTAACTTTAAATTACATATAAATCATGTTGCTATGTTGCCAGTAAGAAATTAAAAAATTAATTGATACTGCAAGTTTAAGGCAAAATATTATCTTAGCGAAATCATATTATTTTAATAAAAAAAAGATTCAGTTTGAGCATTTTATTTTTAAGATTCTGGACGAATCGGTATCGCTAGCCAGGCTTTAGGCATTGCTCAGGCTTCGTTAGATTGTGCAGTTGAATATTCCATGAAGAGAAATGCTTTTGGAGCACCGATTGCAAAGTTGCAAGCTATCCAGGTACTTTGATACTTTTATAAGTTTTTGTCTAGTTAGGCAATTTATTTTTGATATAATTGGCAATATACATTTTTTTTGTGTGTATGTGTGCGTGTGTGAAGTTACTATTTTGTTGTTTCTCCCTTCAACATGAGCCCTCATCTCCACTGAGTTACTAATAACATAGATTGCAGCTACGGTTAAGAAGAAGTAACAAAATCTATACAGAAGTTGTTTTTTCTAAATTGGCCCATCATGATATGACGTGTGTGCAATCGGTTAATTACTGATTAATTGATTCTTTAATTAATTCTTTTTTTTCTGATTGTTGATTCTATGTTTTTTTAAACGTAGCTTTTGCTTTAGCTTGCCTGTCTAGTCTAGAATTTCTTTGTAATGTAATGTAACATGAATATTGTAGTTGTTTTAATATTTTTGTATGATTTTTCTTTTTTAATCACATTATGATTTTTCTTAGCAAAAAATTGCGGATATATCTTTGAAAATTGAGTCTGCACGACTGTTGACGTGGAGGGCAGCTCAGCTAAAGGACAAAGGGCTAAAATACACAAAGGTGCTTTTTTTATGTTTTACTTTAATATTCTAATACTCAACTTTTACATTATTTTACTATTGTCATGTATCTGGCATTTTGTGTTTGAAAAGTTCTTTCACTATGCCAAAATTTTGCGAACCAATTGGCCAGAATAATTAATTATGTCTTGACTAGCGAGTCAAAGATGGTAAATTTTTATCTCTGATTTTGTTACATATTTTTGCTAATAGTTTTTGTAATTGTTTAAAAAAATTATGTAAACAAAATAATAAAAACTAAGAGCAAAGCCTACATATTGTGCTGTAAGTACAGAAAGGTACCTTGATGTGTGTAGGGGCTAGGGCAGCACTGTTCAATTTCCACCAAATTCAATTGCAAAAAAATGCTTGCTCTTTAAATATAATTAAGATGCTTTATAAAAAATTGTGTTAGGGTGGGTGATGATTTTGTCACTTTTCACTTTTTTGTGTGGATAATGCTGCACTAATATAGTTGCAGAAATAAAACGGTGGTTTATATTGTCAAAAACTGCTTTAAGAACAAAAAGACAGTAGAGCTTTCCACACTTTTACAAAAATTGTAACCTAATGTGGTGAATTGTTTTCAAAGGCACATCATCAAAAACCTGCCTATTATTCATCTAATACATTTTTTTCATATACAAAGCTTCAGCAGAGAAGTAGATCAGTAAATATTTTAGCTACACAATTCAAGAAATTCCTCTGTAATTAGAGTAATTAATTGTATGTTGCCATGTATGAAAAGTAGGAAATGAGGGAATGACTGAAACCAAGATGAATTAACATAAATGAAATTGAAATGCGATAAAAATTAGCTCTAAACAATTCTGGGAAATACTTAAAAAATTTAAAAATAACCTGGTCACTTCCAGACCCTTTGTTACATTTTAAACTATTCAGAATTCTCATTGTCAAGAGTGAAAGGAGAGATAAGAAAACTAGATGTGAGAAAAGGCTTAGCCTATAAAACAAGAGAAATCTACAGAAGGGTTAGATTGGATTAGGTTAGAAAAGGAGACTTCACTACTTGGGCACATCAACCAGTATGGGTCTATTGTGCATCTCCAATGTTGTCTAGAGCTTCTCATGCAGCTTAAGGCTTTTTACCAGATCCCAAAGCTTTTTCAAGGACTCCCTTATCCTTCGTCCTGGCTTTTCCTCTCCTAAGAGTTTATTTTGGCTTACATCAGCCTTTGCACCAACAGGTTCTGTTGTCTCTTTTACTTCCTGACAATATGTGCACAGGCTTTCTGCACCCTGAGTACATATGCCTTTGGAGTATGCAGTGACCAATTAGCAGTTCAACTATTGTTCTAGTCCTAGATTTAATAGTGCTGTTAGTTTTTGCGATGGTTCTTTGATGAGCCTCCAACCTGGGCTACATTCCCATTGAGCAGAGGACTCTTAACCCATTGTCAGATAAAATGGTTTGGCCACATTGGTTTGGAATGCCGCAAAAGCATTCTTGGCTGATAGGTGTCCTCATTCAACTTTATTTAGCCAGTTTAACTGGATTAGGTATGCAACTGTGGCAATCCCAGTGATTCCACTGTTAAAATATGGCAATTATGCCTTGCCTCCATAATTTGCATGCCAATCTTAGTAATTTTTTAAATTGATTTTATATCTTCTTTTACAAAGGAAGCAACTTTTCTTGAACTAACCTTGCTTGTTTTGCAGGTACCAACAATTTTCAGTACCACCTCTTCAAATTCATTTTTTTTTATTTGACCTAATTATAATTAATCCATTTGTTTTTTAGTTGGTCTTATTTAACCAAAGCAATGATTTAAATTTAATTATAATGTTTATGAAAAATTATTGTCATGAGTGGGACTTAAACCAACGACCTTTGACTCAATACATTGGCAAAAAGAGGGAAATTTGAAAAAGTTGTAGGTTCAGATGATGAGTTAGTGTCCCGGGGTACCAAAGTCACAATAGCTCAAGTGGTTAGAGTGGCTGTGGCTGAAAGGCTAATGCCAAAAAAAAGTGGTTAGAGCAGCGCCATATTGGGCAAAAGGTCATTGGTTTGAGTCCCACTTGTGACACTAATTTTTCATCTTATTCACACTTTACATAAAAATTTGAAACAAATTTAAACTGATTATAATTTTTTTTCAATAAAACACTTTAAAAGTTTTATATTGTTTTTATTAATAATACAGGAAGCTGCAATGGCAAAACTGGCAGCCTCAGAAGCTGCAACGTTCGCTTCTCATCAGTGTATTCAGGTTGGTACACGTTTTTCAGTTTATATTTGTAAATCTTATTTATATTTGAATATTTTCTTTCAGGTTTTAGGAGGAATGGGTTATGTAAGTGAAATGCCTGCTGAGAGACACTACAGAGATGCTCGCATCACTGAAATTTACGAGGGAACTTCCGAAATCCAACGTTTAGTAATTGCAGGAAACGTGTTGAAAGAATATGGATTCTAAATTACTCAACTTAAATTTTTTATTTATCCATCCTGTTATAGCAAATCTCTCTTAAATCGTTTTGTAATTTTTGCACTAGTATTATGTTAATGCACGTATGTTTAATTAAAAAACCTCTCAAAGACTGAAAGATATGTGATTTAATGTTCAAGGTTTAAACAATATATTTTTAATATTTTAATGCATACATTATTATTACCTGTATGGATCTGATTAACCTATGAAATTCAATAAAGTAAATAAGAAAAACAAAAATTTCTCAGCAAGAATTAAGGAAAATAATAGGCCCTTGTGCTGGCCAATACTCATTTAATTATCACCTTAAAAAAATAAAATAAAATAAAAATATAAAAAAATCAGAGCATGCCCAGACTGCAAAATGTGGCTTGGAAAATATACAGCCACTTTGTAATGGTGATACTGACTCTTACCATGTTGAATGCAGGCACATGAAATGCTATTGACCCTCTTGGGTAGCATTTTTTTTTTTAAGTTTTATTTTCATAAATGACCTTAATTCCTGAGGTGCCATGAGACCCCCAGCATACCTCATCCTCAGTCCTCAATGAATAATGAGTTTTTTTTTCGTATCCTTAGCGTATAAATGAACAAAACTGATCTTTGGTCATCTCAAGTACAAACGTACCAATTTTTCAAAAAGTGGCATGTGGGATAGGTTTTTATTAAATGTTCCTGGTGCCAAGTGGTCCAAAGGTTGTAGGGATTGCAGTCACATGACAGGAACAGCATATGTTAATCTTATATAAAATAATGCTATATAAACAGTACTAGCTGTATTAATTGCAAAAAAAAAGGATCTGGAGGCCTTTAAATCAAAATAGCAAAAAAAAAAAAATATGTGCTCAAAGAAATCAAATCTTTATTTGCCATAATTTTTCATATTTATTAATACAAGGTCTGTTTCAGTTAAGGGGTTGAGGCCTGTATCTTCAATAATAAGATTTAAATATTCTTTTACATCATATAGCGGGTTTTTCACTAGCCATTTATAAATTACATTATTTATAGGTTAACCTTTCATAGGTTAACTTTAACGATTTTAGGTAAATGATTTCAGGTGAAGTGATTTCACGAATAGTCTAACCTCTCATAACCATTGAACACAAATGATTTCTTACATATTGGCTTAACTAGACTTGAGGCATTTCTGGTATTATAATTGTGTACATCTCTAAAAGTTACATTATTTTTTACAAATTTTAGATTAAAATAAATGTACAAATATATATTCAATATATTATATTCCATAAATAAACTTTTACGGTGTTCAGTTTTTGGTTTTCCCAGTATTATTCTAAAGAATCTTTTTTGCACCAATAAAATTTCATATACAAACACAAGAGTAGACCATAGGACATTATGCCTTGGAAAAGAGAAAAACAGTTTTTAGGACATACAGTGATTTGTTAATTAGTTTTAACATCACAAAACAGAAAGAGGAAAGCGTGCTTGTGGTGTGAGGTATGCACTCGCCACATTTAGCTCCTGTCAAACCACAGACCCAATAGTTTGCAATAAGTTTCACTTTTATTATTATTTTTTAATACAAAGAGGACTTCCTGGCTCTTATCTGGATTTACATGCCTGGAATTTGAGTTGAACCATACAAAGAAAAAAATATATAATAATAATAATAGAACATGGAGTGGAGGCACAAGTCAAAGAACAAAATTGTCTCACCACTAAGGTCTTGTGTGGAGAGGAGCTGGTCTGGGTGTCTGATTTTTGCCTGGTCTTTGTGGTGTCCGGTTGGCTGTGGGGGTGCGCCCGCTCTTGATGTCCCTGCCCCTCCTGGCTTATCGCTCTCGGTTTTCTTCTCTCATTGATTAATTCATCATCAAGGCATTTTTGCAATTAAATAAATTTAAAAAAAAATTCTCTTCACCCTGCACCATCAATTTTCCAAGCTGGTATACATGCAATAGGACTCTACACAAGAGGTTCTGGCAATAGCCGCTAGCTGGCCAGAAGAAAAAAAATATCGAAAGGCATACAAGGATTTTAAAAATAGATAGGAAATTAAAAAATTGAAAACGGATATTTTTATTGACTCACCCAATATATTTTTTTTTAATTTAAGGAGTAGGAACTATGCAAATAAATATTTATTACAATTTTTTTATAGTTATAACAATTTAACATAAATAAAATTTAAGAATGATATAAAACAAATGCTTGGTATTAAACAGATAAAAATTAATCAGTGCATTTTATTAGTTATTTATTTTTATTTATTCATTTTTTTTTTTTTACAATTGGTGTCTAATGCCTAAATGCACAGGCATCGTTTTATTATTACAGCCATTTTCACTTTTAAATTCATTAAGGGTACTAGCACGATTGCACTTCTCCGACATTTAATTGTATTTTTTATTGAAATTCATCATAATAAACTTGAATTGCCTAAAAGTTCTTTAGAAATTTGTATCACAATGTGTATTTTGTGTTTAATCTGTTTTTACAATGAAGGAATCTGTGAATGAGTCACAGCCAAGCCAATGCAAAATCTTAAAACAGCATTTATAAGCTCTTGGATATCTTGTAACAAATAATATTGAAATAGTTTTGTTTTAATCATTAAATTCGAAAGTTTTTTAAAAACAAAATGACAATATCCAACTTTTACTTAAACTAATTACATACTTTTTTAGTTATGGAGTGACTGATAATCATAACAAGTGTACTATGATTTGACTTTAATCTAGGTTAATATGTATAATATCAATAATAACTATGGTAATAATACATTTTAAACACTTAAAATGTTAAATATAATAATAATAATATGTAAAATTATTAACACAATTTATAATTTTTAATAAACAATTTAATATATATATTTAAAAATTGTTACTTATAGGTAAACAAAAACATCACAATAATAAATATTTTAAAAAAAGATCATTTTTACCTCATGTATTAAATAGAAATAATAGATTTTTTTTATTCCTTATACATTAGTTAATCCTTCTTATACATTAGTTAATTATGAAGATTCAATAATAAACATGTACTCAATGTAAATAAATGCCTCTCTTAAAAGAGTTAAATAATATACAAGATATAAATGGTTCTACTCACGACTTCAACAAATTATGAAACAACAGGTCACTAAACACACGTTTAATATGATGGAAAACTTAAAATAGCAAAAAATATCATCTGATCCTGTAAAACTGAACTATAATAGAAAAATTGTTTATATTCAACCAATAATTCAATCAACAAGTAGAAAGCCTATGTTATTTAATACAATACAAAATGGCACTGATATATACAATTCATAGTATATAATATTTTAATTGTAATTCAATATAGTCTTTAAGCAGGTGCTTGGAATTTATTGCTAAAATCAAATGGGCACCTTTTATAACATAAATGCAAATATTAGTTTGTTCAAATTAAAGATAAATAGTAAGTAAATAGGATTTATTTATTTCTTTAACAAGAAAATAAAAATAATCAAATCCAAATTCAATTTTCCTAAAAGTAAAAACACTTGTTAAACTATTTAAATTTGATCTAGCATCAGGGGTACGATTATAACAATTTTTTATAAAATATATTTAATTTTAAAAAATCAACAATTGATTGTAAATAACCAAAGACAAAATAATATAAAATCATTAATTTAATAATAAATTTAATAATAATAATAAATTTCCTAGATAACAAATAGTGACAACCAATCACAGATCATATAGGCAGATTTTATAATTAATACGAGCAAAAAAAAATTAATATTTAACACTCATCATACATTGTATGATACAACATTGCACTTTTCTATTCTAATCCTAACAGCTTTGAAAATGACAGACATTTTGTCATTACAAAATTTTCACTGCTGCAATTCATAATGGTACAGTGAATTAGAAACGAAAGTGTTTTATGATTTGTCTACTTTTAAATAAGTTTATACTTTGTAAAATTGGTTGATCAAATTAAATACATTTAAATTTACTATTATGGTATTCAAATATGTGTATATATTACATATGAACACTCTCCCAGTCTTAATGAATTGTTGGAATGCTTATCAACTGAACATTCCTTTTGCAACCCTGAATAAAGTACATAATCAAATTTAAATGTAATATATTTCATAGCAAAACATTCGAAAACATTTTTTTTTTGTTTTTACAAATTTATTTTTGTGCTGAAAATTTGTGCCAATTTACCAATATTTTAGAGAGCTTACACAAATGTAAAAAAAATTGAGAAACACTTTGAAATGAAGCCAACAAGAAAAGAGAAAAAATCATTGTATTTTCAGGATGCATCAGCCATTCAGGCAATTTTAGAGGAATTCTTCATTCTGAAAAGAAAAAAAAATTATAAGATTTTGGGGTTTTGTTTCTATACTTAATGATTGCACAGAAAAAAACAAATACTTGACTAATTGTTCTGGTGAACATCTTATTTATTATTTTCAAGTCAATGTATTTTACACAGGCTAATGCTTTGATAAAGTCAATCAAGATGTACAACCTAGTAAACTAAAAGCCATTGCATATTCTATTCGCTAGCATTAACATCACTGGTGATCAGATTTTTATCTGGATCATACCTCCATGGTACAATGATTCAAATTTCATTCTGCATATTTTGCATTTTTGAAGAATACTGTATAAAATTGTAATTTGAAGAATACTGCATAAATTTGCACATTTGAAGAATACTGCATAAATTTGCACATTTGAAGAATAATGCATAAATTTGCATATTTGAAGAATACTGTATAAAATTGTAATTTGACGAATACTGCATAAATTTGCTTATTTGAAGAATAATGCATAAATTTGCACATTTGAAGAATACTGCATAAATTTACACATTTGAAGAATAATGCATAAATTTGCACATTTGAAGAATAATGCATAAATTTGCATATTTGAAGAATACTGCCTAAATCAGCATATTTGTAGAATAGATTAGACATTTAGATATTTCTCAGATAGAAAAGATGTTTGAGGCCTCCATTTGCAAAACTTTTAAGCGCAGTTTTTCGCCTTTCCTGAAAATGACTTTTTTTGAAGTAGTTGGGCTATGGAAATAGGGGCCTCATTTGAAACACAAAAATAGTTAGTCTCAGTCCTCTTTCACTTTTCAACCTAGCAAACCTAAAAAATGCAATAAGTGGGAATTATAACTTCCTCTAAAATTGTGGTTTGAATATTTCTAATCAACGCAAAACAGAAATTAGTAAAATCCATGACGATGCATGAATGAATTAGTTCAAGAGAAATTAAAAAATGCCCTTGACGAAAATTCCATATTAACTGAATTGGGGAAATTAATGAAATCTTAAATAAAAACAATAAAGTTGTTATAAAGGAAATCGACAATTCAATTATTTTAAGTTCCAACAAATATGCTTTCTTTGCTTTTTATTTTTTGTGTGACAATTTTTCAACATTCCTTTCAAAATGGATATCCACTAGATCAAAGAGAAAAATTTGAAGAAGAAAAAATTTATATTCAATCGAAGTATTTGTACTCACTCAAAGTGTTTGTGAGTTGAGAACCATTACCAACATTTTTTCCCATCGTCAGCTCTTTTCACCTCAAAGAAGCCGACTCCTTATACAAAAATGTCTTCCTATACCGACTTCCTTCCCCACCCCTTCAAAATACAATGTATATGAACATAAAACAGCAATTTCTCACTGGCACTCTCAACACAACACACAAAAATGGCACAATTACATAGAAAACAAACACTTTGAGTGAATAGAAATACTTTGACTGAATATAAAAAAATATTTTTTTTTTGCATTGTATAAATTCACTTTTTTCCACATCCTACATGTATTTGTTAAATTTAAACAATGTTTGTAAATCCCAGGCCCTGAAGATGGTCTCAATAAAGATCGAAACGTTGGCACGATAAAGAAAATGTTTTTCTGAAACCTATGTCATGCCAGATCGCATTTTACGATTTCCGATTAATCCTAGACTAACAGTTACTAATCACCACAAAAAAATTTATTTTTTTATTTTATTTCATTATTATTTTTTTGCAGAAATCCTGTTACTTCTCAAATATCCTATTCAGTGTTCAATTGAACATTTCTTGGTAATCCATTTTTAGGACATTTTCGAAAACTTCTATTTCAATGAGGAATAAATTGTTCAGGCATTTGATGGCTCTTTTGTGTTTTTTCTTTTCTTTCTAGAAACTACTTTGTCAATTGTTTCTTCTTCGAAAACTTTTCCTTTGCAGAGGAACCAAAATTTTTTGCCTCTAACACAATTGACTGATTGATGTAAATAAGAATTGCTACCCTATTTGTTTAGTCAGTTATTAGCCAAATGGGTACATCTTACAAATTTTGAGGTTTTCTCATCCATTGATAAGTATAAAAGTTAAATTGTCTTACCTTCGACACAATTTATTGGAATAAACAAAGCCAAAAGATTAACCAAAAGACTGAACTGCCAACTTCAAGGGAAATCATCAGAAAACAATAGTGGATCTTTAACATTCGCTGATGATCCACTAAGCCAATTTTCACTGTCATTCGTTTTCTTATTATCTGAAACACAAAAATAACATTAGTACTTTATGAAAATAACACTAACAAATATTATAGTACAAAAATAATAAAAAGCTGAAACCACCTTGGACCAAGGAACAGAAACTATAGTACAAAAAAGATGAAAAATAAGAAATGTTAACAGGATTTCTAATCTGTCAAATATTATATGTAGAGCCCAGATTTATAAGCAATAAAAAAATCCACAAATATGAAAAAATATGCAGGATAAAATTTGTACCACCATGTCATAGATAATTAATCTGATCACCATGGCTGTAAGTGTTAGCAAAAAGAATATACAACTGCATACAAATCCGAGCTCGAATTGTAAGTTCTTAGTTTGAAATCACAAAAGTTGATTTTTTTTAAAAATTAACATACCTTTTTTTAAAGAATTTGTACTGAACAAATCATCAAAATTATTTTCAGTATTTCTGTATCCACTGGAAAAAAGCTTGTCATCATCATCTTCATCATCATCACCAAAACTACTTTTAAATAAAGAAGGAGTAGTTTTCGCTTTAGCTGATTTCTTAAAGTCGCTACCAAAAATTCCAGAATTGTTTGATAAAAAGTCATCATCGTCGTCGTCGATTATATTTGTTGAAAAAAGATCTTCGTTATGCTGATCAACACTGAAAGTTCCAACCGTTGAAGTTGCTGGCTTTATATCATTATCCTCATTTCCAAATTTGTTCGCCTTCGCTTTATCATGTTCAATAGAGACTTTGGAATATGTGCTTGTTTTTAAAATAGTGTCTTTATTCTGATTACTCGAGGAAGCAAACAAGTCATCCATATCTGAAGAATCCATGTCGTTCCAACTAAATTTGTTGTTTGGCTTTGTAACCAACTCATCGGAAGTGGGTAACCACAAAGGGTCATGTACCTCTTTGGCTTGTGCTATATTTAACGGAGAACTCAGCGAGTTGTGCAAGCTACTACTCGAAGTAGGAATATCCGTTCTTTCAAAGTCTGACCTTTCAGCATCGATTGATACACCCGGTGACAGTAAAGTATTTCCAAAGAATAAATTATTCGATGATATATCCTTTGGAAAATCAAAAGCTGGTAATACAAACAAATCCTCTTCATCTGTTGATGGCGACATGACAACACTCGATGAAGTAGTGGGTCTACTGTTAGCATGATCACTTTCATAGGTAGATGCTGCTCCTGACGAAGAAAACCCTTCTTTTCGGTGTCGTCTTGAAGGAAGTCTTCTTTTGGATTGAATTTTCGCCCTGCCCTATAACAATTTAAAAAAAATTACATCACTTATTTTTTAAAATTTTCAATGAATAAACACCAGAATGGGGATTGAAATCACTCTTTGTTGTTGCAAACCCTCATAAAAAAATTCTATCCCATTGACAACAAATTTACAAAAAGTCAATAATACCTTTGCCAAGCTATGTAGAACTTTTGTAGTCACACAAGGCAGATCACTGCAACCTTGAGAATTTGTAGTCACTTCTTCTATGGAAAGGTGCTTATTATTATCGATAACAGAAGTCCTTGGTTTGGGTTCTGACGGACTATTAAAAATCAAATCACTAGAGCCCTCAACATCAACATCCATGCTATGATTAGAATCATTATCTACATAATCAAATAAATTGTCAATTAATCAGACGAAATAAAATTATCTTACTTTTTTTTCTAAAAGCACAAATAAAAAAGTACCTAGACAAGAAAAGAGATCCTCCGGTGGAGATGGACTTTTCTTTTCAGGTTTTTTGAGATGAAGGTTTGGAGTTCTTCCCATGCTCAAAACCCGTGAGAGATCAGCTTTGAAGTCGTTGATATCAGGAACACCTAGATTTATAAATTATTGCTATAAATTTATTTCATACCATTGATTAACAATTTTTTCTCGTTCAAATATTCAACTAATATCATTATTTACTGTAGGGTGTTCTAGACATACCTAGTCGACCAGCCTGAAGCAAAATTATATTTAACTAAGTGGATTTGGTGAAAATTTTATATAATGTATAAGGCAATAAAAGAGGATGGCGAAGGCTGAGGGGTTAGGGCATCTAACTCATATTGCCTGCTAGCAGACCTGGGTTCGAATGCCCCCGCATGGCGTTTCAATTGTAAATAACATGGATAAAGTATTGAAAGTTTGACCCCTTGACAATGACACTCAATGAGTAGTTAGACAATAAGCCCTCCTGAATGACAAGATTTATGTTACTTTAGGGGCCTCAGTAGATGAGTGGTTAGGGCGTCCAAAACATATTTGCCACACTTGCTGTTCTGGATTTGAATCCTGACACAACCCATGGATTTTTATTAAGAATAGTATTAAAAACTTATTGAGAACTAATTTGACCCCACCCTTGTCCACATCCAAAGGGCAGAAGGACCTTATAGTACTTCTGTATGACAGTTCACTTTACTTTTGTGACTGTGATGATTGATATTTTCTTTGGTGATTGATCAGCCTTCTCAGTTTAAATATAATTTTTTCTTTCCAAAAGGTAGATTGGGGATGAGGCCAGAAAGACAGAAACAACATTTATTTTCTTGTCGAGCTTTCGGCAGAATATATCGCCTTCATCAGGACTCTGTATTAACAAATTAACATAAGTAAATTTTCAAATATACAATTTTAAAAATTTTCCTTAATTACTAACTCGAAAAAAATCATTATACTATATGAACAGGTACATGTGTGGATAACATTTAGCCGGTAGAACCCACCTTCGATAAACGAAGGTAATAAATATTCGTAANAATTTGCCGCCCCTGAGGGTCAGAACATTGTTTCAGGCTCCTGCATTCAACATCCCAATGCACTCTGAGGGCCAATGGGTTAATTGATATTCTGCCATCGGCCTCATTTAAAAAAAAAATACATAATAATAATAATAATAATAATAAATAAATTTGCCGCCCCTGAAGGTCAACAACATTGCTTCAGGCTCCTGCATTCAACATTTTAAGGAACAAACAATTTTCTTGGCCCTAAATTATAAATAATAGTTGCTTACTTTGAAATCTCACTATTTCCTACATCTTCTTTGAATTCATTTTGACCAAATTTATAACCAGAGTAATCACTCGATAAAACCTGAGGACTGTAGTTGGACAAAATTTTGTTCGTTTCAGGAATCATATGCTAAAAACAAATCAATTATTAATTATATGAAGTAGTTTAACTTAATATGTTTATGAATAATATTACATGGTTTTGTGATATTATTTAGAAAAATAAAACATTCATAAAATACAAATCGCTTACGTAATCCTCCGAATGGTCCAAATTACTTGAAATTCCAGTCTGATTGTTAAACTCTTGGTCTGACTGATAAAAAAATAATATAATAACTCTTTAAGAAAAATCCATGTTACATAATAAAAATTATAATGCAAATAAGATATTGTTGTATACTGTCAAGATGTTATCTTACCTCACTCACTATTTCTTCTTCTAGATTAAGTAAGGACAAACCTAATGTGTCATCGTTCATAAAGGCCTCACTGCCAATTAAATGAGGTAGAGGACGATCCTTGTAGACATTTTGAGGAATTAACATAATTTGTCTAAAAGAAAAAAAATGAGTCGTCAGTCACAGCCATTGCAACAAGTTGAATAGTCGATTGTCAAGGATCCAGGAAACAGAAAAAAGTAACAACTAGAAGATGTTGAAGGATGTAGAAGCTGGTGTTGGTGAGCGTAGTTTGAAGTAAGTCCTCCCCAGAGTTAAGAGTTGTGTCTGACTTGCCTTGTCTGTTTGTTTGTTTATTAAGACCAGTGTAAAAATCAACGTTTATGAATACTATCTCTCTAGTTTGTATTATTTTTTAACATTACCTTCCTACCTTACAAAAAGTAATAGGACGCATACACTAAATGTCCTCCTATCACTTAGCAGTAAGTATAGAGGGTCAGTGCCGTTAACAATAAAACAAAAAAAAACACATCCAGGGACAGAGAAGATTTTGGTGAAGCATGCACTGACCTGCCAATAGCTGCGTCGTCTTCCGAATCACTCCCAGGTATGTCAATGGCTTCAAATTTCTTTTCCAATATGTCTGCACATTTTTTTAATGACTGATGCAAATTGAGTTGCAAATGTGATCTCTCAGTCGTCCATTCCATTGAAGAACTCTAAAAATAGAATCGTATGAATGTACAAGTCTGATAAGTATGGGATGATTGTTCTTTTTTTTTCTCTGGGAATAAATCTTTTGTTCCAATATACAAAACTAGCTATGATTTTATTTAATTGCATTTAAGTTGTTTTTTTAAATTGGAAGGATTGTATTGTCATATGTCTGTAATTTCACAATAACTCCTTTTTGGGATCATCAGTTACAATGAAACTTTTTTTTTGTGATACTAGGACAAAAAATATTAGACACATGCTCGCACTCTCTGCAATTGTCCCCTAGGAGCCAAGAAAATAAATGTTTTAGCTAATTTAAGTTATTTTAAAAAAAATTATTTTCTGCCCATGTTGAACATGTATTCAAATGTTATTACATACCAGTTGTTTTTTTACGTAGTATAAGAAAATAATAGGCAAGATCATACTAAATGAGATCAGATATATAAAAAGATAGAAAAACGGAAAGACGCTTTCAGTAAAGTAGGCAAAAAAAATGTTTTTAAGCACCCTTTAAAGCCCTTAAATATGAATTTTTAGAGCAATCAAAAATTAGACATTTTTGGGTTGTATCAGCCGGGGGCATTTTTTTTTCTCGACTATGATCTTTCAGCTAAAAATTCATAATTACTCACCCAATACATTGGTGAATTATGACAATTGGAAAGCTGCATTTTTTTCTTGAGCCTTTATCAATAACCATTAGTTCATTAATCTTAAATGAGAAAAATTAGGATGAAATCTAGTTTATTTATGGAGGCCAGGTTCATGCACTTACGCTTAGTTTATAATGTTCTAAACCTCTGCAAAGTTTCCAGTGGAATTGTTTCAAAGTTATCAACATTTTGTGATTTTTAGTAAAACAATTGGAAAGATTTGAAACAAAAATTTAATTTTCCAAAAAAATTCTGTTCAAGGTTTATTTTGGGTTACATACAAGATTATTAACTATGTTTCTTGTCATATAAAAAATATTTTAATCTACTTTGCCAAGTCACTAAAACCCAAAATAATTATGCAATGTATTTCAATAGATACAAATTTTGCTTGCCTGTAGATTTATTCTTTTTGAGTTTTTACAAATTAGGTTAAAATCATTTTTCATCGAGGAACAAAGTTTATTTTCGTTTTCTACACCCCAAAAAACTCCTGAATACGAAACTTTTGGGGAAATGAAAAGAATCTTTTTTTCTCTCTCCTATTTTTCAACTCTTGCTTGTTTGAAATGCACAGAAATTGTTATAACTTTGAAACAATCCTAGCAATTCACCGAAAACTTTAAGGAGTCTAAAACTTTTGTTTCATTATTATTTTTTTATGCATTACATTTTTTTTTTTAATTCCATCCATATTTATCTCATTAAATCTAAACATTGTTGAAATATCCTGCTTTCCGATGGCTGTACAAACACTGAATCAGCAAGAAAAAAATTGCCTACAGCGGATCCAGCTCAAAAACGTCAATTGTTTAAATTGCAATTTAAGTTTGCATTTAAAGGTTTTTAAAGTGATTTTGAATTATTTTTGGCTTACTTTACTGGAAGTGACTTTTAATTTTTATATCTTTTTATAAATCTGATCTCATTTAATAAATCGTGCATATTATTTTCTGAACCTTCGTAATATAATAATTAACAACCTTGGAATATATACACAACAAAAGCAGAAATCTTTTGTTTAAATTACTCAAATTAGCTGAAATTTTTTTTTCTCGGCTCCTTGCACCCATTGGCAACAACACACAAGACACGCCTAATATTTTTCAACCTAGGATCACAAAAAAAGTTACATTGAAATCAATGTTCCTTGTCCGTAGCCTCCCCTTGCTAGCAATATCTACCTGATTTGTAAAAGTAATGATTCACTAGCTTTAAAAAAAAATAATAATAATAAAATAAAAATATAAAAAAAGTGTAGTGTTTGAAAGGGTAAATAGAATATAGACCTAGTTGGGAGCTGAAATGACCTAGATGTCGGAAGCCCCAGTCAAAAAAAGAAAAAAAAACTGTTTTTGGTGACCAGTGTAGCCTAGTGGTCAACATGATGGACTCTCAGCTCATATCCCCCATAGCCGTGGGTTCAACTCCCACCGGTGCTCCTAGCCCTTTTTTTCATGATACCCCCAAGAATATAAATCATCAATATATAAATCTCTGAATTATGTCTTTGGTAATATTAAAAAAATATTATTTTAATAAACATTTAAAAAAAGCTTTTGTAAGAGCATAACCATTGGAACATACTTCATCGGATGGTTCTACAAAAGCATCTTCTTCCTCCTGGACTCGATTTTCTATAAATTGGTTGTCGGCAATGGCATGGAAATTATTTGTAATCGTCCTAACATTTAGAAAGGTTTTATTCAAATTTTCCTCAAGACTATCCATACAATTCAAAGCATACGTTGTGTTGTTCAAAACATGCTGAAAAATAAACAGAAAAAGAAAAATAAGACAATTAAATATGTCAATGAAAATCAAACGTGTTAAAAGCACTTATTAATAATTAATACAGATGATTTTATGGTTAAGAAAAACATTTATTTATTATGATTCAGTAAATATAATCAGTATAAATAAGAACAATCTTATCTCTGTGGTGCAGCCATACTTTTTTTTTTTCATCTTATTATTTTATTTTGACAAGCATGCAACTCAAAAGTTTATCACTCAATCTCCTTATAAGCAAAATCAAATTCGATTAAATTTAGCTCCTGTCAACAACAGTTAACAATCGAGAAAATCATCTCTCAAATTGAACGGCTATCTATATTTTATATAAATTAATTAAATTATAGTTTTGAAAAGCTATCATGGCAGTTGTGTTTTCACTGCCAAATTATCCCAAAATGCATGTCTTATTACTATTAATTTAGTTTTATAAGAAAAAACATGTTCATTTTCATATGATAACTGGGGGTAATGACAATGTTTTGTTTTTCACCACTAATTGGTACAGATTTGACCAATGTTGGTTCTTGTTTTATTACATCCTTATCTTACTATTTAACGGTTTGATTAAATGAAATTTCAGATATTTGACATGATGGCAAGTAAGATTGTGCAATATTTATTTTTTTAATAACTAAAGAAAAAAAAATCAACGTAACATGACCAACTCCCTATTAGCCAATAGCTTTAGGGATGGTTAGGGATATTACCTGAAGAAACCAACTTTCGTAATTTAATTTTCAAGACACTGTTTAACCATTGACTTGATGGTAGTGTCCACAATTAGAATTCTTTGGTAACTGATATATTCAGAGGAGAGCTCATTAAAAGAGATATTTTTGCCAACAGAACAAATGACTGTTTGAAACAAGTTTTAAGAAAACATAAATAGTGCATGTCAATATCAAGCGCTATTGATCTGAAAATGCTCTCTGTTTATGCAGCCATAAACATGAATGTAAATTAAAGATTAACCCAAACAATAGCTTAGCTTTCTTTAATCAAACAATAGCCTAAAGTGTAATATATAGGCTGTAACAAAAGTCTGCATTTTTTCCTTTGTTTAAAAAATGGATTACATCCTATATTTAATTAGATCGATACTGTCATAAATGAATAATAATTTAGCTTGTGTTCTGGAGAGGGATTCCTCTCTTATTTTGTTGTTTGTCCAAAGTTAACGGAAAAAACTCCAGTTAAGATAAGAGACATGAGCTAAAAACTTAAAATTTTAGCCAATCATAACCACAATCTAATGAAAGTTTTGAAAGCAGCTGAGTGAATCAATGAACAAGATTCAATTTGCAGGTCGATTTGGAACTTTTGTAAACAGAAGTTGAAAGGTGTTATAACAGTTCCCAACAGGATAGATCCATCGTGCATCGTTGGTTGAATATTATAAGCTGGTCCGCGTCTTAGCATAAGTCTATGCTTAAAAAGTTATATGGAATGTCAACAGAATAGTCGCCTATTTGATAAAGAGCAAAGAGATGTTTCCCACAACCTGGGAGTCAAAGGAACGCAGTAGATGAATAGTCCGTCCATTGTCCACAGTTATTTAGTGTGAGAAGGTGACGCAGACACAGTTCATCCAGCTGTGGGACCCTATAAATTTGGGGCCATGTAAGCCAGGCAGGCGCTGTACACTCTTCGCCAGATGTCCCTTGACATGGACCAAGAGGCTGCCTAACAGAAAATCCTGACAATTAGTAAGTTGGAAGGAATTGCAAGAAGGAAGTTAACCAACTGGCCCAGCAGGCTTTCCTTCCCTACTCTGTTGGGAAGCCGGTATAAAAGAGGATGATTTGGAAAGCAGTCAGTCAATTCAAAGACTCGTCCCAGTCAATTTGAGGACTCAGAAAAGACCAATCAAGCAGCCACACTCAATCGGGGACTTAGCGAGGATTCAGCTAGCAGGACCGGCTATTGCGACAAGTTGAATATAGTAGACTGACAAGGACCCAGAAGGCTGTGGAAAGATCCTGCAAGATGCTGGATGTGGTAGCTGGTGTTGACTGGGTAAGTCCTCTTGTAAATAAGCTCATCCAGGAGTTAGAATTCTGACTTGCCTTGATTGTTTGACTTTTTGCTTTGTTTTACCATATTGAGATGGGCCAGTGTAGTAATAAATATATCTCTCTGGTTTAATGAATTTTTGGAACCCTACCTTCCCCTTCACAAAAAGTAATAGTAGCTGAATGTTCTCATAATGCTCAGGGTAAGCAAATAGAGCGTTGGCACTCACTTACAGTATAAAACTCATCTGAAAGCCTGCAATAAGCTTCATTCCATTAAATGTATCAATACTTTCCATGAAATTGGGTTTCTGGACAACCAGCTCTCCCTGTGCCAACATTATGATAATATAATTGATATGAGATATATATATACAACTTGAAAGAAAAGAAAACACTCAATTCCTTTGTCAAGCTTCTAAGGGATAAATCCATTTTGTTAGGACTTTGTAACTACTTGTAGATTTCATTCCATTATCAGCTAAAGCCGAGATATTTTAGATAAATAATAGTTTCAAAGTCCTGGTGAAGTTTGTCATTTGATGAAAGGAACTGAATGTTTTCTTTTCATTCTGATCTGCCCAAAAAGGTAGCAGCTTTTGCTGCCTCAAAAATATCCAGCTTTGAGTAAGCCAGCAAAATGTTCTCCTGTATAACAAAAATAATTAAATTTCAATAGGAATTACTCACTGGTCAATGACTGTCAAAATTCAAGTTCGGCGGAAAAGTTGGTTGTGTTAAGTTTCTTGTCTGAGAAAAACAACTTTTTGTGGTACCAACTATAAAAACCTTTAATTTGGTTTACCGATCAATTTGGTCTGCCTATTCTCCCTGTTTTGGTCTGTCAGATGTTTCACACCCAGGAGTGCACACTGAAGATGGCACAATGACGAAATAATGATACAGGTTGATCACTCCACAGACTACAGGATGGAATATCACAACTCAACTATAAAAAGGTTCTCCTGCAGCAGTAGCACGTATTTCATGTCAAACCATATCAAAAATCATGTTAGTAAAATTTGTACATCTCTAAGCCAGTTTTTAAGTTTTTGCACCTCTACTTAAGATATTGTGGTATGAGTAAATTACAGATATAAAAATATGCCTTTGAACTTTTTCCCTAGATAACTATTAGATTGTTTCACATGAAATGTCCGTTTCCAAGGTAAAGGTTTTTTAGTAAAATTACTGTATAAAAACAAAAGCATTTTATTGAAGTATTTACCTTCATTTTCTACACGTTTTTCCCAACACGTGACCAACTTTTTTATGGTGCAACTGAAAAATTCTGAGCTTTTAAATGAAACAAAATCTGAAAACGCTTTTTGGACTTAAACATCATTTTCAAAAAAATTTTCCTTGGACGAAGTTGTCTAAATTCCTGAACAGGTGGAAATCCGTTAGAGACAAGTCTGGAGAATAAGGTGAATACTGAAGAACTTCGCAGCCAAGCTCTTTCAATTTGTTTACAATATGTTTTGAAAACTGAGGCGTAGTTGTGGAGGAGTGAAGGACCTTTCTGGTTTACCATTTTTTTTTAAAGTAATATTTTATGCAGTTTGTCAATTTCCTTGCAGTACAATGTAGAGGTAATGGTCTCTCCTCTAGGCAAAAAGGATTAGTTAATAATTCCAGTCATGGACCGTCATACAGTCACCATCAATTTTTTGGGTGTAAATTTGGTTTTGGCATGTATCCTGGTCTTTCTTCGATGTTTAACCACTGCCCTGACCAAAGCTGATTGTCATATGCAATCCATTTTTCATTGCAAGTGATTATTCTTTCAAGAAAAGGCTCAGATTTTTGCCTGGCGAGCAACGAAACACATATCTTAAGGTGTTTTAACTGCTGTCGCTCAGTGAGCTAATGAGGGACCCATAGATCAAGCGTTTTGATTTTTCCCATGGTCCTTAATTGTCTTGACACAGTAGCTGCACTTGCATTTAGTTGTGCTGCGAGTCCTCTGACTGTTTGATAGTGGTTTTCTTCCACTTGAAGCTTAAGGACATCTTTGTCAATTAAATTTGGAAGTATTCCACAAGGCTCGTTTTCCAATTCAGAAAACTTAGCAAACCAATGGCGAATGGTTTTTTCATTTACATTCCATTCCCCAAACGCCTTACTGATACTTCTTGCAGGCTCAGCTGCCAAATCATGAGTTTAAACTTGTAAAGGAATATTACACGAAAATCGCATGTTTCCATGTTCATATTTGGAGTTATACTAAAAAGTGTGTAATGAACTGGGGAGCTCATCATTATAAACAAAAGTGGAGGACTAATAACTGCTTAATTATAATATATAAACAATTGGAAATAAACAACAGAAAACCGTTATATCATCTCTGAATTTCTGAAACTGATAAAATAGTACATTTCATGTGAAACAACCCAATAGTGTACATGCTGACATCACTCCTACTGATTGTCATTTATTCAGGTTCACAGAAAACATACGTTGAAGAAGAAATAAAAGCTTATTTTTAAGCTTTTACGCCTCTATGAAAGGCTCAATGTGATATGGGGAAATTGCAGCCATGTCATTCCATACAAAAGATCAATTTTAGTCATTTATTTAGGTTCACAGTGAACATTTGAAGATTTTTTAGGGTACACATTCAAAAAATGAACAAGAAACAAAAGTTTAATTGGAAGTTTTTACACCATATTTGAAAAAAAAATCTGAGATTTTTTTGTGTTTCAGGCTATTGGCCTATCTTTAAAGGGGCATCTCAAATGGGCTAATTCTTCGTGAGTACCCCACAAAACCGACGACATTTCTTCCAACCATTTTAATTAAGTAAAGGCATCTTTCAGCCAAGCCAGAGCGTAAGCTTGTTGTGAGGTTTTTTCGTCACTATAAAAAGACTCATTTTGATATGTGTAAATAGCAATCATGTCATGGAGCAAGACAGGACAATTTCACTCATTTGAACTCCTACCTCATACAGCATACAATCTCAACATCACTCCTTGAGACTGCCATTTATTTAGACCCCTGGCTAACTTTTTTCAGGGCCAAACATTCAAAAATAAAAAATAAATAAAAACTTGTTTTGAAAATTTTTCACCTCTATGTGATGAATATCACAAAGACTCATTGTGATATGAAAGTGAAAAAATAAAATTTATTTTGGAACTTTATGTGTCCCCTTGAATAATTAATTATGCATTTAACGTTTTTACATACATTCGAGGCTGATAGCACTATAGAAAGATGTACATTTACAAAAGTACATACATTTAATGTGAAAAGTTCTTCTATGGAAATGAAATTAAAGGGGCAATTAAAAACTTCGGTTAAAAAACCAAGTTATAAGGACAAGACGGAAACATGATTTTAAAGGTGAAAAGGGGGGGCTTGGCAGATAATGTGAGGAAGGGTTTCTATATTCCAGGTGTGGAACAACTGAACATAGTAATTCTGTGTTTAGGGGGATAGTGGTCAGAAGGGGGAACAAAAATAAGTGGGAATACACAGAGGATATGAAGGTAAGATCATATTTCAAGGGAGGTGAATGGAAAGATATCTGACAGAGGATGTGGAAACACCTAGGGGAGCCAAACACAAAACGTACAAAATAATTAATTAGACGTTTAAGCTTATCTTCAAGCTCCTCAGTGAGTCCCCTGTACACAACACAACCATATTGAAAGTGAGGAGAAAGCGGAAGGAGACTAGGAGTTTACAGGTGCTGATGGGAAGAAGGTAGTTGGCATGACGGACCTAATGGAGGACGGAGAAGCATATGGTTAATTAACAGATATAGCAAATAACAATTGTCATGCAGCAAGGTAGCACAATTTCACTCAATCGAACATCCCCTTCATCCAGCATACAATCCACATCATCACTCCTACAGACTGTCATTTATTCATACCTAACTTTTGTTTGGACCATACTTTTTAACTTGCTGTTGACAGGGACTGGCACCCGGGCATGCTTTATAAACTTAAATGCTTCCTACCCACTCCTTATTACTTTTGTACTGAAATCCTATCACTCAACTACTGCTTCGGTGAGGTGCGACCACAAGTTCACAGAAGTAAGACAGATTCAAGCCAGCATCCCACAATGGAGCATTTTTGGTCCCATCTATTTATATCATTTAGCTACCTATACACCCTAATACCATCAACACCACCTAGGTGGACCTTATCGCAATTTTGCCCTCTAACTCGAATCCTATCCATGTTACCTCATCCAAGAAATGTTGCGAGCTTATTAGAGACTAGCGCGAAAAGTGGAGGACAAGATTGAATGGAGAAAGAAATGCTCAGTGTACCTTCACATTGAAAAAACAGTCTTGTCCTCCACTGTACATAAACAGAAAAGAGGTACTGATTTCCGTGCAAGACAAATACTTAGGACAATACCTAGATAACAGACTGACATGAAATTCCCACACAAAACTTAAGTCAACTTGAACAACTACAAAGACTTCTAAGACTGAAATCCATCTTGATCATCAAAATTAAACCTTATACAAAACTACTGCGACTATTTTGAACATATGGAGTGAAACTGAGGGGGTTATGCCAACCCATCCAACATCCAGCGCATCCAATCCTCCCAATCAAGTCCTCAGACAAATTGCCAAAACTCCTTACTTGAGGAGTCAACCTCTACATTCATTTTGTCAATGAATTGATCCATTCCTGATTCCAAAAGTTGTACACCAACCTATGGATCCATCTACATATTCACATCTTGAGAACACGCCATGCCTCCTTGCCACTCAGCAATCCCTCACACAGAGTGCCAGTCTCATGACATCTGTCCTCAGGATGCAGTGTTGTGCCAGTCTCATGAAATCTGTCCTCAGGATGCAGTGTTGGCAATGGAGTTAGTGCTGTGACTGTAAAAATATATAATAAATAATGTGGAAAGTTTAGATACTAACCAACAGCTGAGCTCATAGAGTGGTTTTACTACTTTTACTGGCCTTTCACACGTATTTTTTTCAAACCTGCAGTCATTTGAGCTTCTCGATCTATTACTGCTTTTATATGAACAGTCAATATCCTAAAATGCTAGCCTCTCATTTGTAACTCAGGTCATCAATTAGAGAATAGACACAAAATATACAACACGTATGTATTACATCGCCACCATATAAACGTAAAGTATGGGGTCACATTCACTCCCCCAGAATACTTGATATCCCTTGGGACGGGGTCGAACCCAATCCAATCATGCTAATAACTTATTTTACTCTAGACATCACACTTTCACTCCATAGTACTCTATATTCCTCGAGACGAGGTTAAACCGACTCCATTTTCATTAATAAAACGCTTGTTTGTCTGTGCCAACTTTTCATGATATCAGTAAACTTAGAAATGTTCTATGCCCCTCCTACAGCATGGCCAATTTCTCTCATTAAATCCCCTTCCTTTACAGTTTTTCTTATTTGAACTTATTCAAGCCTACAGCATTTTTTTTTTACATTAAGAAATGAGAAAAAAGTTAATGTGAATAATTTCATCCTAGTACTAGAAAGGGAGTGAATTTTCTGGACAAAGATGGGTTCAATTATTTTCAGGAAAACATATTATTTAGAATTATTCAAGCAAGTGCATACAAAACGCAGACTTTTGTTAAGCAGTAGCAAAAAGGGTAAAAGTAAAGAAAACACGTATAAACAAAGGTTATAAAGTGAAGATTAAATAAAATTAAAAAAATAAATAAATTATAAAATAAATGTACTTGTGAAAATGTTTCTAATCGTTTCAATAAATCAACATCGTTGGCCAAATTCCATTTGTGCCTACATTCCTTCATAACGCTGGTATCAATCTTGCCTAAATTATTTCCGTCATTATCCTGGAAATGAAAGGGAATTTAATTGACAAACACAAGATAAGTTTAAAACACAAAACGGCAGAAAAAAAAATCAAGGGAAATTAAAATGAACCATGCGAATAATACTTGCCATTTTTCATGGTAAACGATGGATTTTTCGAAGCGTCCGTTTAGCCAGCCGAGATGAGACGTCGAGAAAAATAGCCAGGGCCGGCGAAAAAATGTTTGCTAATCAATTTGTAAAAACATCGCCTTCTAAGAAAGTAGTATCTACATCTGAGGATTGAGGAGTAGAGGGTAGATAAAACAATGCTGATAGGAGATCCACATGGGCCATCATAAGTTCTCATTATTATTTGACGTCATAACTGGGGACTCATCGATTTAAAAATAAACAATTACCATTCCATTCATTCGAATTGCATTAATATTTTCTAAACTATGAATTTAAATGAAAACTCGAAGCTAGAAAACATGAAACATAGGATTTAACTTTGAATTTTTCAAAAATTCACCCACAAAAATGCTTGAAACAAAATACAAAAAATATTTAAGAATAATGGTTCTACTCACATATTGTTTCATAGTCTTTACTTTTACTTTTTTGAGTTCAACTGAATGAAATTGTCTGTCTTGCTGCATGACATGACTGCTATTTACACATATCACAATGAGTGTCTACATAATGGCGAAAAAAAAAAACTTCAAAACAGGCTTAGCTGAAAGATGCCTTTACTTAATTAAAATCATTTTGAAGAATGTCAATGGTTTTGTGGGGTTCTAAACAAGAATTAGACCCTTTGTACTGCTGAAAATAAGCCAATAGCTTGAAAAGTACCAAAAATAAAATAATCATCAAGGATTTTTTAAATACTTTGTAAAAACTTCAAAATAAGCTTTTATTTCTTCTTCATTTTTTGAATGTATAAACTTAAAAAAAGATTGTTATGAACCTGCATATGTAACAGTATGTAGGAGTGATGCAGGATACAAAATACAACAAATATTTAAGAATAATGGTTCTACTCACATACTGTTTCTTTGTGTGTACTTTTACTTTTTTAGAAATTCAACTGAGTGAAATTGTCCTGTCTTGCTGCAAAACATGACTGCTATTTACACATATTACAATGAGTGTTTACATAATGGCGTAAAAAACTTCAAAACAAGCTTACCATCCGGCTTGGCTGAAAGATGCCTTCATTGCCCCCATTTTAGGGTTTGCTAGTCTTTGTATGCTGCCTAATGTTTGGGGAGTTGTTTTTGCTGATGTTTGGGTCACTAGATTAGTGAGCCATAGGGTAATTTGGTCTTATTACTGCCATATAGATTGGCCATTTTCTGTTTTAGTCCAAAGATTTGCCCAGAGTTCTTCTTGTGGTAGTGATATTTTGCTTTTTGTTATGATGTGCCGCAAGTGAGGGTTGCAAGATAATTTCTCCTCAGAGATTATCCCTAGGTATTTAACCTAGTTTTTTAACTGCAGAATTTCATTATAGAAGCATACGCCTTCTACGTCTATTTTCTTTTCTTGGTAAATGAAATTAGTGTAGTTTTTGAATGGTTTGTTCTAAGACCTTGTTGTCAGCACCATTGCACTACTATGTTTAGTGCTTGTTGGGTGAGCAATGTTGAGGCGAATTTTCCCCTGACTAGTAAATTGGGGTTAGGTCTTTCATTTATGTATATTCTTGATGATACTCTTGGATTGTCTAATTCTCACTGGTTTTTATTTTAAACACATTTTTGCATTTTGTGATCTTCATTGGTTACTACTTTGTTTCATTTTTTCAGTTTGATATGTTTGTGAATTGATAAAAAATTGGAAGTTTAAAACACCCATAAAAACCAATTACTGCTGATTGTGAAATACATACCAAATGCACCTAACAGGGGGAAAAAAACAGCACAACTTTGCATATGGTTAGGCTTGAGCAAGGTTTGCATACTAAAGGATTTTCATACAAAGGTCTTATAAATAAAAACATTTTATTGTCAACAATAAAAGTCACATATTGTAACAATACATAGACCAGTTGCTTTCTTTGAAAACACTATAGCCTTAAAAGTAATTTAAAAATCTATGAAAACTTAATAATATACAATATAATTAATTAACAAAACACAATTTCTTATTTGTCATGAGTAATTTTTTTGTTATATATATTATATTTATTAACTTATATAAATACATCTTTTATTTATCGCTTTAAATGTAAAAGTAAATTTAAACTTTATGTAAATCTCATATAACTGTTAAGAATGTTGGGACTTAAAATAATAATTTTTCGGTTTGCATGTTAAAAAAAAAAGTTGTAACATTTATTAATTTTTGTTTAGAAAATTAAAAGGAATAACAGAACAGTGGACAACCTTTAATTTTGGAGGAGTAGATCATTAGATTTAATTAGGAAGTATTGTAGGAGGGCATTTTTTTAAAGCGCGGCGCCTTATGTTCAGCATAGTCTTGATTATCAGCCATTCCGCTAAGGCAGGTGAAAGATATTTCATTGTCTTAATGCACTGGAGCTGAAAATATAAAAGCGATATGTTATAAGAGGAATAAACCATTTAGATTGGAATTTATTTTAAATTACTTACCAATAGCGCATGTGGGAAATAGCCCGTTGTGCAAGATTCAATGCCGACAGTTTTCAATGCTTTCTGAGTGTAAACTGTTGGAGTAGGTGCCATCCATGTTGGCTTTTTAATTTTACTCATTTTCGTTGCAACATACCCTGGTGTAAGACATTGTATCACAACGCCTTTTTTTCTATATTCAGATGCCAAATCTTGGGAAAATTTGGTGACAAATATCTGTAAAATGACTCAATGCGTTAATACAATAAAAGGATATAATTATCAAGAAAATATTACCTTTGAAGCAGCGTATACTGATAGAAATGGGCTAGGAATATTTGCAGCAGTGGAAGAGACATTGATTATAATTCCTTTTTTCCTTTCTACCATCCCTGGCATTACAATCTGGCACATGATTAACATAGAGGCGATGTTGCATTGCAAAATGTCATTGTATATCTTCTCTTTTTTCTCTAATTCAAGAAAGTAATCAGGATATGGATAGCTAATTCCAACATTGTTCACTAAGACTCCTATTTCTAAACCGAAGAGTTCCTGTTCAATGTGTTGATACACGTTTTCCCCTTCAGTGAAATCGGCCTCAATGATCCTGGTCATTACATTGTATTTACTCTCTAAAAGTAAAATAATAATAATTAGTATTCTGTATATATTCTGATGTAGTATCTTCATTTGAGCATTCTAATTTATCTCAGATCTAGCTGGACCATAATTATAAGCATATACGACTTATAAGATTAGAATTATTGTTGGAGAGATTCTATGAACTGGAATGTTCCAAAAAAATGGTTGTCTTTGACCCGGACTCATAGGTCTGAAGAGTAACGGAAAAGTGGATGAAGCGGTTAAGGCCGTCATATCCCAACCTCTGAATTAACCACTGTAATCTGACCTCTTGATGCTAAAAATGCAATTTAAAAATAAATAAATAAAATGATTAAAAGTAAAAGTTGCAGCATCGGTGAACCCGATAGGCGAGAAACTATCACATATCAAGAGCATTGTCAATAGGTGGCCCTTTGAAGACCTGACTTATAGAAGAAGAGCCACCCGATTAAGGATAGGCCATGCAAGGTTGACACAAGGACTTTTGACCAGAGCACACCACTTAATTGAAGGGTGCGATTCCTTGGCATACAGAGAGCGAGTAGGAGGAATGCCACCCGATATGTAAATTGTGCTTGAGCATAGCAGCAAGTATCTGGATCCTCTGGTCTGACTTTTAGTGGAAACAGGACTGTTTCACTGTATGCAGTGCTTTATAGATATCTCGTGTTTCTTTGTACTTATTGAGACTGAATGTATGTATTTAGTGTGAATGTATAGTGTGAAAGGGCCGATGGTGGAATCTTGAGTACCCTATCAATCCTCGATATGTGGAGGGTCATGAAGGAATATTGAGTTCTCCACCACCCCAAGTGATGGTGTGCAGATTAGATTAGATTATAGTAGGAGCCACCTCTGCACCATGATCAGTATTAGTCTATTGGGAATCTCTGTTTTCTAAAGCTCCACATTAAGCTTAAATCTTTTTGCTAGACCATCAAGTTTTTTCTAAGACTTGTGACTCCTTCACGCTTTTGCTTTTCCTCTGCAAGGAGAAGGAATCTCATCCTGTATAGGACAGAGAACATACAAGTACAATATGTACAGAGGACATGTTGGACTGTTTATTCTTCTTCCTGGCAACATCTGTACAAGCTTGTTTCTGCCAATACATATGTCTCTGGGGGTCTGCAGTGAAGTCCAACTATTATTCTAGTACTAGTACATCCTAGATTTAGTAGTTCTGTTGTTAGTTTTCTGATGTACATTTTTCAGTTGTCATACATTTCATTAAATGGAGGACTTATTTTTAACCCATTGTCTGATGGATCCACGTTTTTGGCAGTTTGGTATGACACAAAAGGGTTCAGGGCGGATAGGTGTCCTGATTGAACTTCCCTTTGCCAATTTATCGGTATATGAAATGCTATGTAAATAAGAAGGAATGTATTTAAGAATGAGTGAGAGTGTGAATGTTTGAATTTGGAGTTGCGTTGGGGGCTGAAATGGCTTAGGTGTTGGTAGCTTCTGGAGCTCGACCTCGGTGGCTGGACGGATAAGACCAAAGTTTGTCCCCAGATGGGTGATTCTCAAGGTCTGTTGGTAATTTATCATAAATCACAAAAGCTTGAATTACTGATGGACTGCGAGAAGTGATAGGCTCAACTCTGAACACGTGTGTATGCACATGCTTGTGCAGATTTGGGCTTATAAAAATCAATAATCAGTAATCATTATAAGATTAGGAGGTTTACTTCCTAAACTAATTTTAATTAATGTTAGGTTTTAAAACCATAAAAAGAAACATACTTAGCAAAATCAAATAAATTCAAACTGTCGGCAGTTCTTCAAATATATTGCATTGACTCTGACTTCATAGGAGAAAGTTATTCTAAAATGATTGAAAGATTAGAGATGACATCTCGAAAATTCCAATAAAATGTAAAATGTATTATATTAATATTCATAAATTACTAATTGATTCGGTTAAATTGTTTAAGCTTTTTATGATAGGCATTTGGATTTAAACTATAACTTATTTTAATGATTCTGTTTGTTTCTTTATATTACAAAAATAACTTTAAAAAACTATTAACTTAATTTTTTAAATAATTAAACCCATTAGTAATAGAATATAAAAATATTAAATTTAAAAAAATGTTAAAATACTCGCCAATTTCTGAAGCAACTTATTTTAATGATTCTGCTTGTTTCTTTATATTACAAAAATAACTTTAAAAAACTATTAACTTAATTTTTTAAATAATTAAACCCATTAGTAATAGAATATAAAAATATTAAATTTAAAAAAATGTTAAAATACTCGCCAATTTCTGAAGCAACAGCTTCCAACTTAGATTTTGTCCGGCTTATCAAGACAATATGAATGCCTTTCTTGGCCAGCTGCAATAAAATATTTGTTTTAGACAAAGTAAAATGCAAGTAAATAAACAAATTTTAAAAAATTAGTGTCATGTACCTGTTCAGCGAAAGCTTTCCCCAAGCCGTCGGTTCCTCCAGTGACAACTGGAAAAATAATGAATAGGTTAAATTAAAAATACGTTACAAACTAATTTCTGTTAATTATAAAATTAATACTCTAATTAGTAGAGAAAGTTATGTTTATATCATGAAAAATGTTTTTTTTATTATTTTTTTTTTATATTTTCATTTTATTTTTTTTTATATTTTTTTTTTTAAATGCGATGTCCTTAAAATTTACTTTTCTGTTCTTACATTTTTTTTAACATTCGTATCTTCGGCTTTATAATAAAAGGAAACGCTGACAGTACATACAGCATTCTAGCTTATGTCATCAATATTAAAAAAAAAAAAAAAAAAATCTGTCAAACTACTTTAATTTGCTCCAATTACACAGAAAAACGCGACTACAGCAAATTTCCCTTAAATTGCGAATTAACGTAACAAACATTGTTTAAAGGCATTGAAATCTTTTAAATGAAATTGAACAAGAAATGGCTGTTGTAATTTCAACAAATCCGGCGGAACGAAGCCTTCAGAAGGTCATTGTTCCGGGTCTATGGTAAGAAAGACTCTAAGAGAGAGAAAGTAAGAAGACGCTTAGGAAAGTAAGTGTCGACAGGAGGGGAGAAATGAGAGCAGTGTGTCGTTTTCATGTCATCGACCCACATCCAAAGCAATACACCCGGCACCCTCTGATTTGTGAAAAGAAACAGCGTATCGATTTTTTCACATTCTGACTAGAAACCAGGGCCGAGAGTTCTATTATGCTAGAAAACATCCCGGGACATTTCGTATAACTGGGAGTCGACTTTGGAGGGGGGATGCTGTTACGAAATTGAAAAAGCATATACATCTTATTTTGAGTAAGTAGAATGAGTTACTTAAAAAAAACAACAGCATCCCTAACCATCCCTAAAAAACAGCATCAAATACCGAATCCGCACAAGTATGAAATAATAAACAGAGAGAATGAGCAAGAGAAAAAGAGTAATGATATAAGTATATACGTACATGGACAGAGAGAGGAAGAGTAAGATAAATAGGTAGATGAGAGAAGTAGATAGATTAGCTAGGTAGATAGAGAGATTAATAAATATATGATAGACATACATAGATAAATAGATATAGATAGGTANTTTTTTTTTTTTTTTTTAATTATCCAAAAATCTCACATACTTGTATATATATTTTTTGGCATAAGAACGATAGATATTTTCAAATAGAGGATTTTTATTTTTTTAATTTGTCTAGAAAATAAAAAATTAGTTAATTAATGTATCCTTTATAATCACCAATATTTGTTTTTAATTGCGGTAAAGGAATTACACACAATAATCTAATTTCATGCCTAAGCTCTCTTTTATTAAATTAATGTCCTCGTTGACAAAAGGATTAACATTTTTTTAAAATTATAATTAATTGACTTGTACCGTTTAAGGCCGATTACACGGTGCCTTGAATGTAACGCTTTGTTGGTTTGACGACTCCCGGATCTTATCGGATCAACAGGATCATCTCCAGCTGTAAAAGGCGGAAAGCAATTAAACCGTTAAACGATTCCGATGGAAGTTAAAGCATGTCCATTCAAAACGGGATGAAAAACAGCTTTCAAGGCAAACCGTTGAAAATTGGGGTTACAGTTATGTCAAAAGAAAATTCCTTCAGTTCCCACCTGTAGGCACAATCATCTCCAACGAATTTTCCATTTCAAAAACTTATACAACAATATATGTTTAAATAAATATTTAAGTGTCTGGTGTTTAGTGACCGTTATTTAATGATTATTTAGAGATGGTAAGATGCGGTCTGTTGTGATGTGGGTTTAGAAAAACATTTTCTTTATCGTGCCTACGTTTCGATCTTTGTTGAGATCATCTTCAGAGCCTGGGAATTATAAACATTGTTTAAATTATACATCTCATATGTATTTGTACAATTTAAACAATGTTTATAAATCCCTGGCCCTGAAGATGATCTCAATAAAGATCGAAACGTTGGTACGACAAAGAAAATGTTTTTCTAAACCTACGTCACACCAGACCTCGTCTCACGATCTCTAAATAATTAATAAATATTTAAGTTTAAGATTAATTCAAGGACGAATTGCAAAGGATATTCTGCGTAAATGGTAATTGTTGAATTAATTTTCTCTGTTTTTTTAAAAATAATAAATTAGTGTTTTTTATTAACGAGGGGTAACTTTTATAAATAGCATATTCAAATTTTCAGAGAATTTTTTGAAAATAAACGGAATTTTGATGGTCGTAGTCACTCTACAATATATAATATAGATTATTATACCTATTTTCCTACAAGTTGTCGAATTAGTTTTAAAATCCAGATTGAAAAATAAGATAAGTCATCCAATGGAAGCTACTAAAATTGAGGCTAAGATGCCTCCGACCAAAACAGCGTCAGGCCAAATGATTAAAGAATAATATTTTCTCATTTTTTAAAGATTGCAAAAACTATTTCTGATAATAAACAGCTTTGACTTATTGTAAAGTTGTCAAATTTGACAACGATTTGGGATTTGTATCTAATTGTTGAATAACGACCAATTTTTTTTGTTGACGTAGGTTGTGGGATTTGTATAATGAGACTAACCACTACTATTTGCATCTTATTTGAGTTGAAAAATTTTAATGATGAGGACGGTAGCCGAATTGGCGAGAAGGAATGATTTTATGAGTATCTAGGATGGGGTTGATCGCTTTAGAAGGAGTCTTTCGCGGATTTTGTACATTGCAGGAAGAAGGCTGATGCGGCTGTAGTGAATGAAGCTTTAAGAATGAGAATAACGACGGGATATTTCCACAAGAGAGGAAAGGATGGCATATGGTAAGTTAACTGTGGCCTTTTGTGGAAGGTTTCCAAGTATGGTGGAGGTAATTAGAACATGCCAAGGGGATTTTCTACTTGGGGATTTGTGAATGTGGTACTACACTTCGGAATGATGAAAAGGTTGGAGGGAAAGAGGAAGAATTAAGTGCATTACCTCTTGTGCGCGAAAGTTTATGCCTCGAGTAACTGTGGATCTCACTTATAATTACATTATATCAAAATATCGTTGACATAGTCTAGAAGTAAAAAAGTTCAGCTTTACAACACTTCTAATAATTGTTCTTTGTATGTAAGGTCTTGGTTGAAATGAAAAAGTTAGTGTCACGAGCGGGATTCGAACCCACAACCTCAGAATCCCGTTCGTGGCACTAGCTTTTTCATTTCAACCAAGACCTTACATAAAAAGAATAATTAATTGAAACAAGTAATTTGGTCAATCAGACCACTAAATATAATGATTTAACTTATAATAATATTGATTTTGGATAAATTCCGAAGAGTTATGAATTTTTCAACTGGAACATTCAGAGAAACAAAAGTTGCTCCTGGCTATTCCAGCCCAAAAATGTAAAATTTTTGTTTCCCATAAGAAATCGTATTTAAGGGTTTTAAAGGGTACTTAAAACAAACGAAAAATTGTTTTTTATATAAAAAAATAACCTACTTTAAGGGAAGCATCCTTTCGTTTTATCTTTAAGGATTTTTTTTTTTTTTTTTCATTTTTTTTTTTTTTTTTATTTGGTTTTTTTTTTTTTTTTTTCAAGGGGAGAGTGGTTATAGTTTAGCAACAGACACATATTCACGTTGTTAGGAAAGAAGCCAGCCTGGAAATGTCCTCTTTGATGATATCCGCGTACTGTCGGGTTTGAAAGCGCCAAAATCTTCGTGAAAGCCGAACGAAAGAAAGAAATTTGCGTCACTTTTACTCTGGCAGTAGAAAAGAGCGGGAGATGACGATTGATTTAACCGTGGCGGGTGAAATAAAAAAAGGTGTCCAGTTTTCTCCAGCATCCAGGAAATGAATAGCAGGCTCGATCGATAACTTAAAAAAGTTTTTCCTACGTTTCTACGTTGCATCATTGGGTACTTATTTCAGCTTGTGCAATTTATTGATGCCGAGGAGATGAAACGCGTATGAAAGACCAAAACCTGCGAAGGACAAGTAGACCAAATTGATCGAAAACGACCAAACTATACTATTTTAGTGATGTAGTATTCTAGTTTGGTCGTTTCCGACATTATTTTGAGATTTCTTCATTGGATCTCTCTCTCTTTCTCTCTCTTTGTCTTTCCCTTTTTCTATATATTTTACGATCTCTCTCTCTCTCTCTCTCTCTCTCTCTCTTTCTCTCTCTTTGTCTTTACCTTTTTCTATATATTTTACAATCTCTCTCTCTCTCTCTCTCTCTCTTTCTCTCTCTTTGTCTTTCCCTTTTTCTATATATTTTACGATCTCTCTCTCTCTCTCTTTCTCTCTCTTTGTCTTTCCCTTTTTCTATATATTTTACGATCTCTCTCACTCTCTCTCTCTTTCTCTCTCTCTCTCTTTCTCTCTCTTTGTCTTTCCCTTTTTCTATATATTTTACGATCTCTCTCTCTCTCTCTCTCTCTCTCTCTCTCTCTCTCTCTTTGTCTTTCCCTTTTTCTATATATTTTACAATCTCTCTCTCTCTCTCTCTCTCTCTCTCTCTCTCTCTCTCTCTCCCCCCCATTTTATTTAATCATCTTTCTCTCTAACTATTTATCGTTATCTAATCATAGCTCTCACCTTTTCCAACTATCTCTCATCGTTGCACCAAGTTTCATCTACTCATCTTTATAATTCTAATACTATTTCATCTATGGTTCTGCGTTCACATCCACCACTCCATCCCTTTATCATTTACAATGCCTTACTTTCTCCACGTGTTTTATTTGTACGTATTTTTATTTATGTGTCACTTTCTCCCAAATTCACTCATCTCGCTACATATGTCGCATCCATGTATAGGTTTTTTTATATTCTTTGTATTACACATTACCAGTCTTTTTTAAGTTTTATACTTTGCCCGTTGCCATAATTTTTTTGTCAATTCGTTTGCTTATCCTTGTTTCTATTTACATACATATCATGATGAATATCCCTCTGGATCTTTTATCTTTATCTTCCTATCTATATTTATTTGTTTTATCCGTCTTTCTCATTTGTTTGCCCTTTC